ACGTTTTCTAATTTTGATCAAGATTTAATTGCAAATTTAATCGAATAGCATCGCTGATTATTTTGAGCAATAAGATTAATCGCTTCACGTGCATTAATTTTGTTTTTGTTTTTATTCTTGTTACATTTCATTGCGACTTGCAAGGAAAAGCTAAATGTTATCCACGTTGAAATTACCATACGGAATCGCTGAGCTCCTCCATGATTTTTCCTTCCTCATTGACGATGTAGTCCACGACCGGGCTGCTCTGAGTAATGTGCGCGCTCGAGTAGTTGGTCACCACTCGACACGGTATACCTAACGTGCGACAAATCGTCGCCAGCACGCCGGAGAAAACCCAACATTGTCCGTATTTGACCGGTTTCTTCGTCATATAATACTGCTGGAGTATTTTTCGCGAGCCCATCCATCTCGTAGGTGGTATACCGTTCTCATAGTCGTTCGACCAATTTTCCATCATTACCCCATCCGGAGAGTTCACCTAAAAAACGATGCCATTTATTAATCCGAAAATTCCGAAACTTTGTTCGTACACTGCGCTAGAAAGAAAAGAGTACTTTAAGTATCATTTTTCAAAATACGCGCTTAGTTTTTGACACGAAAGTTCTTTCCTCTCTAAAATGGCTTACCGCGGCGGACAGAGAGCGCATTATGATGACCGGATCGTTCCTGTCGATAACGCGGACTTTGCCGACATGATTCATTAGGTACAGGGCGCAATCCAAGATGTCCCGTTCGAATTGCGCGTACTTCCACATAGTGGACCGCAAACAGCTGTGAGTGCCGCGCCAAATTAAACCATCTTCCATTAATACATACTCTTGACGCTCAATCTCGCTATCTATGTATACCACGTCGTCTGAAAGGAAGAATAATATTCTGCAAAACTCAGGACAATATTCGTTACCGGTGTGCGATTGGAAAATCGACCGTTATGGACCATATTCTTTATTTTTAGTAGTTATACAATATACGAGTACCATTATGCACACATGTAGTAAATAGATCACAGATTTCTATACTAGAAATCTAGTAGTGTGGTACAGAAATCTGTGAAATAGACAAATTGAGATGTCAGGCTTTCATGAGAATTAGTGCATCACATCGTACCTAATATATGACGCATGATAACAAATGTGATAAAATGTAATTGCGTATTTAAATCGAAAAATGTCTAATAAAAAAATATTCATTATTAAATATAAAAACAGCGATGTACATTTTCGGTAAATTGTAACGCTACTCGATGTTTCATTGGGAAACAGAGAGTTAGAATACCTGCGAACACACATACCTTTGCACCATGGATTACAGATCAAATAAATTGGATCCATCGTGTAACTGACAACAGTATCGGATTTCTCGTGATAGATATCGATATTCATCTTCCACTTGCCTATAATTGCGTTTGCCGATGTCACAACCTGAAGATGATAGACTTCGTTAACAAGAAACCTTTTTCATCTTAATTTTTCTTTACTTCATACGTGTACGCTTGACGTTTCCAACGTTAACTAAAACGATTGTCGATGGCTTTAATATTGCAATTCGGACATATACACGATTCTATATACAAATTTGGTTATTTTAAGTCTATTTTATTTTAAGAAAGAAAGTTTAATTCTAATTATATAATTACAAACCTATTTTATATTAATATTACAAATTTATTTAACGTATCAAATTAAATCAAAATTAAATTCTCTGTAATGAAAACTCTTGCTAGATTTCGCATTTCAGCAATGTTTTCCTACTCACCTTTATTCTTAGGAAATTCGTTCCTTTGGCATCTATGATGGCCTGACAGTTGGCAGCTTCGGAAATGTCCGTGGAATCGTGCATATCAATTGCCACTAATGTCCCAGATCCACGTTGCGGGCTCACGCCATCCAGAGTGAAAATAATGGAAATATAGTCAGTGGAATTATAATTCCGCGATAGACTGAGATGCAGATAAAATTCCTGACCACGTCTGACAACGAGTCTTGCTCTGTCATCCTGACGGGTCATCATCTCGTATCTGGAAGTACGATGATTCTTGCCGTTTTCCTTGATGCAATGATCCACATTGTGAATCGTCAATACTGGGACTCTCTTTTTTCCTGCTAATGACAACTCTTTCCCTGCTAAAGACGTCGAATCGACGTTTATGGACTGATTATTTCTGCTTGGATTGGATCACTGATAACTTAATTGGAAGCCTCTTCGCTGATTGAATTATTGAGAAATGCAAATTCGTATGCAAAGAAGTTTTATATACATATATATATATATATATATATATATATATATATGGAACCTTCTAAGGAGATCATAATAATATTCTATTAGGCCTATATAGAAACGATCAGAAGTCTTCGAATCTTTTGCGGGATCGAAAAATCTTGCACAATTAAATTGAACGGACCTGGAAAAAATTTGTTTTCCATTATTATGTGCCTTAAATGTATACATATATATATATATATGTATATATATATATGTATCCGTTTAATTTAAAAATTGTGCAAGATTTTTTGATCCCACAAAAGATTCGAAGACTTCTGATCGTTTCTAGGCCTAGCAGAATATTATTATATTATAATCTCTTTAAAAGGTTCTAGTCTCTTGATTGGATTGAATTTGTATTGATACAAGTATTTTTATTATTCAGTTCAAGACTAAATCTTCTAAGAAGAATATTCTTGCTTTTATATAAAAATATCTCTTTTAATTTAAGACTAATTTGTTTCTGTGCGGTAAATATCATCGAGAGATCTTCCGGAAACTTTTAACCTTTTTCAAGAATAAAATCCACATAAACTAACCGAAAGACATTATTATATTATAACTGCAACAATACACAGAACTGAACAAATCGAATGACGACGAGAGACTGACGAAATGAAGTCACCATATGAAAGTCACTGACAGAGATTCAAACCCAATAATTAAAGCGGAATGCGAAATACGAAGCGAGAATATATGCAAAGGAAGAAAAATTGTCGATCTTCCGAGAAAGTGAAACGTGATACGAAAAGAAACTATTATTGCATTCCGTCTTAACACTCACGCGCTATGAGCATGAACTATCGTTTAGTATTTGATAAACAACAGGAATGATCACGTGATCACTATAAGCGCCAAAAGCGCAAATACGAACGTAGCCTATATCTATAACTATTAAAAAGTTTATGTTCCAAGCAGGTGTCAAGGTAAATAAACGTTATAACAGCGACATCCTCTCCCAGATCAAATTCGTAGCGGTGCTGAAGTCGTTTTACCGACGAAACTCAATAATTTTTGTACAGTTTTCGTATATATTATTTTTACAGATTTGGAAATCTTTTTCCAAAATTAAAGTATAGATAATAACGGAACGCGGATGAAATTATCATGTATGAAAATGGAAAATTGCAGTTGTGTGCGTTATCGACTTCTAACGTCAATTCGTAATAATATTTGCTTGGTATAAGAATTTTATACTTTGTATGTATAAATAAGTTGCATTGGGACAAGGTTCATGGAGAAATGGCAAAGTCAGGTTGTAACCGAATAGAAATGATAAATGTGAACGTAATAAAATAAGTCACAAATTATTTTCTTCACGTATATAAAATATATAAAATGTTGCGTGATTTATCTTACATAAATATTTTATCCTATGAGAAATTCTGAATACTTCATCATATAAACACGTTGATAATAATATAACGACTACCATGGAGGATTAATTGAAGAAAAAAAGCGCGCACGCACACGCACACGCGACGCACGCACGCACGTACACAATTTGCTTACTTACAATTAAAGCTTTTTGTTGCACTTGAATTAATTGCAAATAAATGAATATGTTGCACTTCTTGATGCGAGTATTATATGAGCAGTTTGATATGCGTATTTTCTATGTTATAAAATGAAATTTTTGACAAAATAACTAGTATTGCATTTGCTCTTTTAACGTATAGAGATACATTTTTACACTTTTTTCTTCTTTCCTTTCAAAAAACGATTAACTTAATCTATTTCTAAGAATTAATTTTATAATTTGTAAACTATAAAATTTCATTTTTGACATCAAGCAATACAAAATTGCGATAACTATACTGTTCCTGCTGCATCGAAAAATTGTTATTACATTAGTACTAAAAATACAAATCTAAATATATATGTATATAAACACACTTACAAATCGAAGATAAAAATGTAAAAAAATTTACACGCCATACTATACATATATGCTAAAGTAATATAGAATATAATCGTAAATACTCAGAATTATTGATTTGCTGATTTGACTATAAAATCGTTGGAATATCCATCGACGTCGTCCAATTCAATCGAATAAAACTTCGCCGCTATCATGGCACGTCCTTCTAATTTTGGTATCACGGAGAAGCTACATTCTGCGTCTGCATCCACCTCGACAGGTTTCGATAGTTTTAGCTTCAACTGTTTGTCCAGGCCGGGCCCCTCAATAAGGAATCTACCCTTCCTCAAAGGAATCGGCAACGGATTGCGGAACTTAGCCGTAGCACGAAGGGTTTGACCAACAATCGCATCGTCATGCAACTAAAAAATAAAAAGGAATTAATTTTTACAAATTTTAAGTAAAATATTTATTTAATGTACTCTTAATTTCTCTTCTTAGTATTTTATCTTCATCTAGAAATGTGTTGCGCGTATCCCAATAATTACCGTGATTTTAATGTCAGGTTTCCTGACGCGGAAGTCTTCCTGTACAAAGTACTCGAAATCCGTATCCTCCACGGTGGCGAGACAGGTGATATTGAAAGAGCATTGATCCAACAATCTCGGACCGTACTCCATCCAACAAATGTCCATGCAAATTTCCTCGACCGTCTCTGGTCGGACTAGTCTGTCGGTGTGTAATTTCTTCACCTGAATGCCTCCACGACCGGTGTACGACGCAGTTTCCGCTCTCAAAATTACAGACACACGATACTCCATCATCGAATGCTGATTTGATATCAGTAATGCGACACTACCAGAAAGTGAAAAAGATTCCGAGTGAGAAGAATAAAATAAAAGAAAAGCGATAAAAACACATAACATATCTAAATTAAATTTTGAAGGCAAATAAAATTAATTTCAAGAATTCTACATAATGTTTATGTCATATCAATAATACTATGTTATCGTATATCATATAATATGTCATACATAATCTTGGCATGTAATTGGATTACGCAATCGCTATAATACATTGTTTAAAGAGCATTTGCAGGAATAGTAAAGTAATTCAATCAAATTAAATACCTGAATGGTTGCCCAATTATGATATCATCGCGCAGTTCGAAAGTGAACTTGATGTTGAACTTCTCGTATGGATAATAATAACCGTCTAAATATGAAGTCTTGTGCTGGAGCAGCGCATTTAGAATAACACCATATTCTTCGGATTCTATTAACAGTAAAAACTATTATTATCTGTCTTATAATTGGCTTAGTCAGTAGCTAATATCATATTAAATAAATATTATTTCTGATTTGGTGTAAATGTACTGAGCCAGTACATTGATCCCAACGTTACAAGAGTTCAGATAAAATAGTAATCAATAAAATAATATAAACTTTCTTTTTGTTAGACACAATGTTGATATCAAGATTTAAAAAAATTGCAATCATAACAGGATTTCCATCAGCCCAATTATTCCTATTAAAATCTTTGAAAAAGGAACAATTGGACTAAATAATTACTTCTTTATCAAAATTTTATTTTATCTAACCCTAAAAAATAATTAACATTAATTGCGCAATATTTTCTGTTAAATCTCACTTACTTTCTGGATACTTGTAAGTGTGTGTGATGTCTTCCATTATCCAATTACCAACTGCTTTTGTGCAGATCAATCGGCCAGTACTGCGAAATCATTGTCTCATCAACGCAATCAATCAATCCAATAATCGCAATTACAATTGATATTACAGATAATTTGTTATGCTTACCAGCACTTATCCCTGCCAATTGACTTTAAATGCTTTAGCTGCATCGATCCGTTGCATTTTGGGTATACCCTATCGAGTGGCCTGTAGATTTTGTCTGCGTTCACCTGGGCGAAGACGAACGCGTTGTCATAGGGATGCAGGAGTTCCCCCTTCTTCACGGCGGCTACCGATGCCGGTCCACAACGATAAGCGCCGTCGCGCAGTTCCTTACGAGTCGCGTCGATCGCCTGCCATCCCGAATAATCCGGCGACAGATCCGGTCGCTTCATCCATACCTCGTTCCAAACGTGAAAATTCCTGCCATGAGAAAAATTGAAACGATTATTCTACTATCTACTGCCATCAACGTTTTTTAATTTTTATTAAGATTTAATCGGAAATTTAATTGAATTAGCATCGCTGATTATTCCGAGCAATAAGATTAATCACTTCATGTGCATTTCAAACTTTTTTTTTTATTACATTTTATAATGACTTGCAAAAAAGCTAAATATTATCCGCCTTAAAATTACCATACGGAATCGCTGAGTTCCTCCATGATCTTGCCGTCCTTATTGATGACGCATTCTACGATACGACTGTTCTGAGTAATGTGCGCGCTCGAATAATTTGTCACCACTCGACATGGTATACCCAAAGTACGACAAATCGTCGCCAGCACGCCGGAAAAGACCCAACATTGCCCATATTTGACCGGTTTCTTCGTCTTGTAATACTGCTGGAGTATTTGTTGCGAGCCCATCCACCTCGTAGGTGGCACACCATCCTCGTAGTCGTCTGACCAATTTCCTATCATTGCCCCGTTGTTGTCCGGAGAGTTCACCTAGAAAACACGATTTATTAATCCAGAAATTCGAAGCTTTACTCGTATACTATAGAAATAAAATTTTTTAATAACATTAATTTTAATAATTATTTTTTAATAACTTTAAATAACATTTCTCTCAAAATTTCTTTTAAATTTTCTAAGTTTTTTTCCCCAAAGCTTACCGCGGCGGATAAACAACGCGTTATAATGACCGGATGATTTCTGCCGTAAATGCGGACTTTGCCGACATGGTTCATTAGGTACAGCGCGCAGTCCAAGATGTCCTGTTCGAATTGCGCGTACTTCCACACGGTGGGCCGCCAACGGTTGTGATTGCCGCGCCAAATTAAACCATCCTCCATCAACACGTATTCTTGACGCTCATTCTCGCTATCTAAATACACCACGTCGTCTGAAAAGTGGAGATATTCTGCAAAACTCAGGACAATAGTCGGTGTGCGATTGGAAAATCGATAGTTATATGGACCATAATAATTTGTAAGACAAACATATGAGACGTCAAGTTTTCATGAGAATTAGTGCATCATATCGTATCTATGTGACGCATAGTAATAAATGTGATGAAATATAATCTTCAGCTCCTCAACGCTGTTTAAACGGAAAATATCTAATCGAAAAATATTCATTATTATCCATTGAATATAAAAACAGTGATGTAAATGTTTAGTAAATAATTGTAACGCTGCTCGACGTTTCATTGGGAAACAGAGAATTAGAATATCCGCAAACACACGTACCGTTGCACCACGGATTACAGATCAAATAAAATGGATGATCCATCATGTAACTGACAGTTCTTATGAGTTTCTTGTGATAGGTATCGATATTCATCTTCCACTTGCCTATAATCGCATTTGCCGATGTTACAACCTGAAAATAACAGACTTAGTTAACAAGAAACGTTTTTCGTCTTAATTTTTCCTCACTTTATACGTGTACGCTTGACGTTCCCAAATTAATTAAGACAATTACCGATGGACTTAATATTGCAGTTCGCAAAATATCCACGATTCAATATGCAGATTCGGTTATTTTAAATTTATTTTACTTTAAGTGAAAAATTTTAATTCTAATATAATTATAAATCTATTTTATATTGATAATACAAATTTGTCTAACGTATCAAATTTAATCAAAATTAAATTTTCTTAAAAAATTTAAATTCAAAATTAAAAATACAATAAAGAAAAATCTTGCTAAATCTCGCATTTCAGCAACATTTCTCTACTCACCTTTATTCTTACGAAATTTGTTCCATTGACATCTATGATGGCCTGCCAGACGGCTTCGGAAATGTGCGTGGGCTCATGCACAGCAATTGTCACTAATGTCCCATGTCCCGGTTGAGACCTCACGCCATCCAAAGTGAAGAAAATAAAAATTGTGTCGGTGGAAGAATTATAGTTCTGCGATAGATTGAGATGCAGATAAAATTCTTGACCACGTCTGACAACGAGTCTTGCTCTGTCATCCCCACGGGTCATCAGCTCGTATCTGGAAGTCCGATGATTTTCACCATTTTCCTTGGTGCAGAGATCCACATTGTGAATCGTCAATAATGGAAGGTCGTTTTTCTCTGCGAATGTCAGCGTTCTTAATGATTACAAATTATCTTATACAAAAGGAGAGAAGAAAATTATCAATAGCTAATAGCTGATAATTATGAATTCTATATTTCAATAAAAATGTTAACATTGGAGAATAATTTCAAGATATTTTACAAATGCTCGTTATTTATTTATTGTCTAATGTTCACATTAAACAATAATGTTAACATTAGACAATAATTAAATAACGGACATTTATAAAATATTTTGGAATAAAATTGAGCTGTTGTTGATAACTTGGAAGTCTTTTCACTGATTGAGAATTGAATTGTTAAGAAATGCGAATTTCTATAAAAAGAAGTAATTAATATATTTAAGGCACATAATAATGGAAAATAGGATATTGCCAAATCCGTTCAAATTAAAAGTCATGCAAGATTTTCAGATCTCGAAGAAGGTACAAAGACATCTCATCGTTTTCAGACCTAGCAGAATATTATAAATAATTATAATCTTCTTAGAAGATTCTAGTCTCTTGATTTGATTGAATTTGTATTGGTACAAGTATTTTTGTCATTTAGTTCAAGACTAAAATCTTTTAAGGAGGTTATTCTTGCTTATATATAAAAATATCTATCTTAATTTAAGATTAATTTTTTTCTATGCGGTAATTTCTACCGGAAGATCTTCCGGTTAATCTTTATAAGAAATAAAACAAGAAAAAATAATCTGACTTCAAATGAAGCGCGCGGTAGTCGGATGAGTGCTCGTGAGCTTGAGTCACTGGCGAGGCTCGTGGCGGAAGTGACGTTAACGCATGTAGCGATATAACGTCCGGAGCAGCCACGAGGGCACATGCCCCATTCCTGCCGGAGCACCAGTGCCGAATAGTCGTCCGCGAAACCGCTGTACAAA